TAAGTATAATCATTTTCCGCTAGTGTACGATGCATGCTCTACTAATTGCTTAATAAGGCAATCGCCATCTTTTAATGTTAGTTTTTATAACCAACTGTGTTGTAGCAGTCATCAGTTCCTATAGTGATATAATTAGTATACTGTGTGCGTATTTATATTTAGCTGTGCGTGTGCTGTGTTAGTAGGCATATAGGCGTATGTATAGTACGGATACGTTGAACCACTAGACTATTTTGTAATTTATATTTTGTTAGAAGAACTAAACTTGTTTGTAATTTTTCACATTCGTAAAAGAATTAAACAATTTTCAAAGCATTCGAGAGAGAATACAGTCACTGTCACTAACTTTTAGGTCGGTGCAGACAGGTAAAAATCTTGGGATGATTTCATAACTACGCTAGGCTAGGCTAGTAGAAGGAGGAGGCCTCGGCGGCCTGCTGTCTAGCCCTAGGCCTACATCTAATTTCGTTCCTTGAGTCTTTAACGAGAGTCTAGAATATTCCTATTAACCGTTCAGTTTGTTCAATTTATTAGGGTTCATTGATTCAAGGAATTGCTTAATTTTCATATTAATATTGAATTTAAAGTAACTTTCTTCGGGTTCTAATTAACCTTGTTTTACGAAAGTAATTTCCAATTACAATTCAATTTTTATCGCAGTGCGCGATGTCTTCGCGGTGACGAAAAAATGAGGATTTTTTTTCACACGAACCTACAAAATATCAAGCCAAGCGTCCACTAATTGAAAAATTAGTGGACGGTGGGGAATAGGCAAATAACATTGGGAGTTGCAGTGATGACGTCAGGATTGACTTATAAAATGAATTATTACTGTACCTCATTGAAACTCAATGGTCATAATTATGGTTCCAACACTAATAACACTACCATTTTCATTACTTTTCCTTATTCAAGTATTTATTTATTTTTATGAACTTTAATATTGTTTTAATTACTATACAGGCTCAATTTTTTTTTTATAAACTCAATAAATTCAAACGTACTATATGTCTCTCCCTCATTGGTTTGTTCACTAAATAAAATATAGTCTTTCCTTTTTAACACTGTTCAATTAATCTTTCTTCTGTAGCACTGTTCAGTTAATCTTTCTGTTACTTTCCTCGCTCGATTAACATTCACATTCTCATCATCTCTTCTTTCATTCGCTTTCGCTTTGAGCTTTTCAAATTTCCTTTCACGCGAATCTGGATGAAGTCGCTTGCAGAACGAATTTCTAGTAATTGTAAAACTTCGAACCGCGTGCTGTGATTACACTGTGTTTCTTGTCTATCACTTTCATCAAAACAGGAGCATACGCAGTTGATAATTTGTTCGTTTTCTTTTGTTTAACAAGAACGCTATCTAAGATCGTAATGTCAGAATCTTTCGCTATACACTTCTTTTCGGCGTTTGCTTTAATTTGTCGTGTTTCCCTCTCATCTCGCGTTCTCATCTCACGTTCTCATTTGCTCTGGATCAAATTTAGACTGACTGACACGGGAAACTTTGCTAGAATTGGCCTTTCGAATAAGGCAGTTGCTGGCGAAACGTTAGTCTTACTGTGCGGTCAGAGTAATTCGATAATTGCGAAGAAATGTATGCATCTCTTTCTGCCAATCGGTAGTGTGAAACACTTTCTTGAAGGTTTTAACAAATCTTTCAGCTTTGCCGTTAGCTTCGGGCCATAACCTTTTGTGTTTGAAACCAAACTGCTGAGCAAACCGCTGAAAGTCATTCCCATTTAAAAGGATGACCATTGTCTGTCTTGACAACTGTATGTATCCCGAACATAGCAAATACCGTGTCCAGCTTTGGTATTAATATTTTTACAGAAGTGGAATAGTGTATTTATACAACTGGATACCGTGAGTACTCATCTCTTATAATCCAAGTATTTAGAGCCTATTTCTGCTGCTTATCTCTCTATGCTTATTTCTTATGGAACGCCAAAAGGACAAAATACAATTGGCAGCAGCGCAAAACTGAGAGTCAGCAGTGCAAAACTGAGAGTCAGCAGCGCAAAACTGAGAGTCAGCAGTGCAAAACTGAGAGTCAGCAGCGCAA